ACTGAGTTGGTGTGGCATTTGGTGTTGAACTATTACTTTCGGGATGGAATGATTTGGGCATCCCATTTCTCCTTGGTTGTCGTTGAAACCAGACGATGCCCTAATGTCGCCAGAGCTACGCAGCAAACAACACGTTGACGGAACTCACATGCAAAGGAGCACCAAGGATTGGCAGAAGAAATTCTAAGCCGAAGAGACAGATTTGACGGATGATGTTTGTAACAAGTGGCCTTGCTACTTAGAGGCTTCATTCATCCTTCTTCATATTCATCCTTCAACAGTCCTGAGTCAAAGAGCCTCTGATTCCGGGCCTCAAATTCCTTTATGTGGCTTCACGGCTTCAACAGCCAAAAGGGCGTTTTGCGAACCAGTGGCGGCCCCTAAACCCTAAACCCTAAACCCTAAACCCTAAACCCTAAACCCTAAACCCTAAACCCTCCCCCCTCAAGAAGCCTAAACACACCTAGGGAACAAAGCCCCCAGCAGCTCATGAGACTTTACCTTGGACGCCCCAGGTTGTACCCTTAGGCTTGGGATCCTCTAAAAGAATATAAGGGCCAATTTCGAGGAGTAGTTTGAGTAAATATGAAGGGGACCCCTAAGAGTACGTCCTTAATCATACGGGCCTTAATCCCTTGCGCTTCGGCTGCCCAGGGCTGTGGCTCTGGGCTCTAGGGTTTAGGGTTACATGCAGCCCTGCTCGAATTGAAAACACGCTCCCCCGGAGTCGTCAAAGCCACCACCCTTTCGATGTTCCCTGCAAGGCTATGCAGGGGCAGGTTGAATCTTGGCACAAGCCGGAATTCTGCTGCGTGGTGATAGGAAGGTGTGCATGTGCGGGGTGCGTGGTATGATGGCAGTGCTGAGAGGTACTGTAAGGTGGGAACATTCAGTCAGGAAAAGGAGGGTGGTTCTGATTCTGTCAAATCGGCCGAAGAGTTCCATGAATGGCATCCCGCAGCCATGTGAGTCGTTGGGCATGTGGGGTTTAGAAGGCAGCGTGGCTCTTCTGCATGCGCTAAGCACCACTGGATTGCTGAACTTATATGTTTTGCATGTCGGAAGTCATAAATGCAGAAAGGGCGCCCCTGAACGTCGCCACGCAAGATTAGTCCACGATTCTACGTGCGCTCAGGACGGCTGGCTCAAGTCACGCTGGGCATCCAACCTGCGCTCCCGCTCCTGCTGCAGTGGCTCGGCTGTCCTCAAATTCCGGAATCCCAGAGATTTTCATTTGGCAGCTTACGAAAATAAGTAACCTCTCATATAGACCCCAAACAGTAGGATTCCCTTTTTTTCTCAGGACCCCAGTAAGGTACCCCTACTTTCTCGGAAAACCCCCATGTACCTAGGCGTTCCCCGGCACCCGGACTCAATCAAAGCACCCCTATAAGGTCAGCGCTGACCAGACCGACCCCCCCCCCCCCCCCCTAAACCCTAAACCCTAAACCCTAAACCCTAAACCCTAAACCCTAAACCCCAAACCCTAAACCCTAAACCCTAAACCGATTCGCCCCAGCTGTGCAGGAGTGAAAAAAAACCCTAAACCTGGGCACGGGGGGATTCGGAGTACGCAGGCTTCGGCTCATTGCAGCTGCCCGGGCTGCAGCGGCGGGACCCTGTGCAGCTTGCCCTTTGTGTTTGGCGGTTTTGGGCTTAGGGCGTAGGGTTTAGGGTTTAGGGTTTAGGGTTTAGGGTTTAGGGGTGATTACGAAATTCCGGGTGCCAGGTATTTCAGCTGTCGATAGTCGGCATGGAACATCCGAAGGCAAGCTGGAGGAATGCCAGTGGAAGCAGGCAAACCCTCCACGAGTCCTAGAACCTGCACACCAGTCATGGTTTCATACCCTGTTTTTCTTAATATAAGCCCTCAACCCTACACCCTAAACCATATACCCTGTTTTTTCTCAAAGTTTTTGCTTTCAAGATGGTGGGATGTTGATGGACCCTTAGGGGAGCGGCTGTGGGCTTCTCAGGGAACCTCTAGTGCCGAAGGTGCAAGAGTACCAGTCCGGGTTGAGGGATGTTTACAGTGTTGTGGTAAACCCTACTAGGGTTTAGGGTTTAGGGTTACTAGCCTGTAAACCCTAAACCGAGAGTTCAGCCGATATGAGTGACCCCCCAAACTCGATAAGTTCGTAGTTTGTAAACCTAAGTAGGGTATACCCCCCTCCCCCCCCCCCCCCCCCCAAAAAAAAAAATATATATATATATAAAAGGAAAATGGAGCCCCATGTATATGAGTGTATGGATTTCTGGGGGCATTGAGGGACGTGTCGCGGTGGCCCCAGGCAAAGCGTTGAACACCAGCCTGCTTCGTACATCTCTGGAGCTTCTGGGCTGCCAAGACTCTTAAACGGCCTAAGTCTGTTAGGGTTTAGGGTTTAGGGTTTAGGGTTTAGGGTTTAGGGTTTAGGGTTTAGGGTTTAGGGTTTAGGGTTTAGGGTTTAGGGTTTAGGGTTTAGGGTTTAGGGTTTAGGGTTAGGATGTGACTGTTTAAAAGTTCAGCGTTTAGTTTTTTCGGGTTTAGGTTCAGGGTTAAAATTCCTGGGGGGTTCGAGTTTAGATGAGTTTAGGGCTTTTATTACTTGCTGCCTTTTCTTTTTTCTTTGGTGCTTCTGTCGATGCACCTAAATAAATCGTTCGGAGACAACAACGTGCTTATGCCGAACATCCCCTGACTGCCCCCTGTGGTGCTGCGTTGCTCCGGGGATTTGGGCCAGTCATGCCTCAAAAGTTGTGAGGGGACCCAGGCGAGAAGAAACGATTTGGAGCATGGAATTGGCAGCGGATTTGGTAGCTCCCTTGACATCGGAGAATGCCACCACCCGTTAGAAACAGGACCCTCACATCCCTCGAGCAAGCCGCGCCCGGGCGAGAGCACGACTGGGATCCCAAACCAGCGCAGAGCCGCGGAGCTTGGGGCACGCCGTGCGCTTACCGACCTCAGACAATAATTTTATGCTCCCAACGAGAACCCCCACACTGCTTGCGAAAAGAATGCTGACAAACATGTTGGAAAAGGGGCCTTGTCCACAAAACACTGCTGTTTCTTTAGGGCTGCTTGGCGAGGAATCAGCAGCAAAACGACGGCCGTATCGTGACACAAGCCATTTCGGCTTAATGTTGTGCCCGCTTTGGTCAAGGGGACCCCATGCAGTGATAAACAACCTGCATTCAGGGTTTGGGGTTTAGTGTTTAGGGTTTAGGGTTTAGGGTTTAGGCCAGACCGGTCGCTGGGCTTCCCAGAGCCTTTTCTCATCCTTAGCTTCGACTTCGAACTCGGAACTTGCAGGCCCTAAGCCCGAAAACCCTATAAACCCTATAAACCCTATAAACCCTATAAACCCTATAAACCCTATGAACCCTATGAACCCTAAAAACCCTAAAAACCCTAAAAACCCTAAACCCTATAAACCCTAAATCCTGAAAAGCACTTGCTAAGGCAAGTTCAAGCTCAGATTGCGTGGCCGGGAAGACCTTGGCCAAGGACAGCGAGTTTGCGCGCAGTTTTCTCTCGAGTTTCGAGACCTTCGAGCAGTTGCATTGTGGGGCCCTGAACCCTAAACCCTAAACCAGGCTCCTCAGCTGCCAAGCCGACGGGAGGCTCAAAAAGACACTGTAAGACTACATCCACAGCAGGAATGCGACCAGGCTGCGCCATCAGCTCCCAAGCAGTTGGAGCCTCTTGGCACGCGACTGGCTGCAGTTCGGTTCGAATTCTGGCGCGCGGCTTGGAAGCCGAGGGTTCTTCAAGATGACTTGATGCTTGTAGTTCTTAGTAGTAGAGTAGGTAACCTTTAACCTTTTTGGGTTACTATATTCCCCTTATAATCCCAAAGGTTAACCTTTAAAACCCCTAGGTACTGGACAACTAAGAGTTACAGGAGTCGTCTTTGTCGTTTCGAAGGCTTTCCAGGTTGTTGCGTGTTCCTTCATGCATGTTGCGCAAAGGCTTGGAATGTCGTGGAACCCATGACCCTCAACAATTGCCTTTCCCCGACCAGTACTATAGGAGCTGAACATCCCGCCCACAATACATCTTGGAGTTGCTGGAGTTTGTGCTTAGTAGTAGAGTAGGTAACCTTTAAACTTTTTTGGGTAATATATTCCCCTTGTAATCCCAAAGGTTAACCTTTAAAACCCCCAGGTACTGGACAACTAAGTTGTGCTTAGAGTCCACCATCTTGTGTTACGGATCTTTCACGCTGTGGCAGACAATGCCTGCACGTTTCGGTTCTCGACTCTGTGCACAGCCAGCCCTGCGCTGGACCCAGCGTCAGGATGGAACAAGGGTTTAGGGTTTATAGGGTCTGGGGTTTAGGGTTAGGGTTTTGGGTTATTATAGCAACAGCACAAGCAAGCATAAGCAACACTTGCAGCTGTGATTTCGAGCTTTCGCAGCGTCTCTCGCATCGCCAGGCTTTGCGACTTCTTCGCGGGCTCTGCGAGCTGGCAAAACCACGAGGACGTCTTGGACATTCATCCATATCGACATGCGGGTCCTGATGCTGCGTAGTCGCAGCGAACACTACGATGGTAAACATGGGCCACGGGGAAGATGTCCGAGCAAAGTTCGGGGCAGCGTAGACATTGGGGTTTAGGGCTTAGCCTTTGCCAGTCGTAGTAGGGGCTTCCAGAAGTTTAAACCCTCCACCTGTGAGAGTGCATGGAGAGGGTCCCCAAAGCTCCCCAAACTTTCCCAAACTCAAGGGCTAGGCTGCAAAGTCCTGAGTAGCCTTCCGAAAGCCTTAGTGGACTTGCGAGCATCGTTGCAAGCAAGGAGGCGGCCAGCGGAGGTAGCAGCGGAAGCAGCTGTGATCCGCACTGGGCTGAGAGGGGGAGTAGCCAATTCCCTGTCCCAGACAAGCAGATTAGCCTGTGAGCACCAAAGCTGGCCTTCCAACCGGGCTCACACCCAACCCAACTGAGCTGAAAGCTTCATCCCTCAGAAAGAAGTCCACTGAGCCGCTTCCAACACATGTTACAAGAACATCGCGATGGGACCACAGCGCGGCTCAAGGACTCAGTATAGTGGCGCGGCCCCGGGCATGAGCAGCATGCTGGCAAGCGAGGCAGACTTTGCGTATCTTGGTGGAGAGGACTCCCCCCGGATGTGTGGCGAAGGTGAGCAGCCGATGGGGCATGTGCTTTCAGGCTCCACGGAAGCTTCAGATGGTTGCGCATCGAGACAGCGGCTCTGGCGTCGCGCCGCGGACTGGAAGCTATCTCGCAAGGATCTTCTGTTGAAGCAGGAGCTCAGCAGGACTCTGAAGAGCACCTTGTACCAGGCAACCTGGCAGGGCGTCGACGTGGCAGTCAAGTGTGCCGGCTTGCATGATGAGGCCATGTCCGCCCAGCTTCTGTCCAATCACCATGGGCAGAGTTCCTCAGGTAATGGAGACGACGAAGACATCACGGAGGAACTCTTGCATGAGATCGACCTCCTTTCATCTTTGCGTCACCCTGACCTTGTCATGTTCCTTGGGGCTTGCATCGAACAACATCTGCCGATCGTGTGCGTGATGGAGTTCTTGCCCGGTGGAGACTTGGAGCACTTCTACATGGCCCAGCGCAGGAAGCATGACGCAGCAGTATGGCACCCGGGGATTCGGCAGGTGCTGCAGTGGAGCTTGGCCCTTGGACGGGCCCTCAGCTTCTTGCATGGCCGTGGTGTGGTCCATCGCGACCTGAAGCCAATGAACCTTTTGCTCACAAAGTACTTGGAGATCAAGGTCTCCGATTTTGGCATCAGCAAGTTGATGGCACATTGCGAAAGCGAGGGCATCTCGATGACGGGTGGCATTGGCAGCTGGCGCTACATGGCCCCCGAAGTGGCGAGGCACCAGGCTTATGACGAGAAGGTGGACATCTATGCAGCTGGTCTCATCATGTACTTCATGAGTTCCGGGAAGGCTCCCTTCCACCAGCTCGGTCTTGATCCAGAGGTGATCTTGCTCCAATACCGGCAAGGCAAGGAGCCGCGTCCCACTGCCACCGACTGCCATGCAAAGCTACGGCCGATTATGGTAGCTATACCCCCTTTGGGATTTTTTGTTTTTATGTTTACATAGAACCCAAGAGGGTGTTAAAAATACTATTTTTATTAAGGTTCCAAGGGGAGTATAGGTAGCGGCGTGGCACACCAAGCCTGTCCTGCGCCCGGGTGCCCACGAGATGCTGGAGAGCCTACGTCTTGCGCAACCGTCCGCAGCCTCCTGCGGACCGTGTGCTCAGATGTGACGCGGACAGACATGTCCTCCTCGTTGCCACCGCATGGGCAGATGCAGTTCAAGCAATCAGTTTTGCTGCTGTGAAGCAGAGTGTAGCCGACCTGAGTTCCAAACTGTCAGCTTTCTGATGGCACCTCTTCAAACTTTGGCTGCCCGTCAGTAGCTGACTTCGCCTGTCAGCTTGATGGCACCTTTTCTAGCTTGGCTGCCCGTCAGTAGCTGACTTTGCCTAGTTCAATAGAGGCGAACGACATTCCTGTCTTCAGTCAAGTGATACGCTTGGCAGCTTTGTCTCCTTTCCTTTTGGTACGAATTCCATAGTTCAGCACCGCTGCCGCGTGCAGCTCGGCAGATTAGCAGCGCTGCAGGCTAATAGGCGGCAGTGCTGATTTGCACGGTCACTGCCTGGACCACATCCGGACCGACTGGCGATGACAGGCCAAAGCAGCCAACAAACAACTCATATAGTCCGGGACCGGGATACTCAACGTTGGTCTGCCGAGCTGCGAGAGTCCAAACCCGACGGCCCAGGTTTCGGGGACATGTTGAACAAGCCTCGACCGACGAGGAGTCGTCAGACCAAAGGACACGCACATGGGTGGGCTTCCAGGTGATGGTGAGTTTGTTGACCTTAGGATGTTTGCCAAAAGGGCTGAATTTCCCGAAGCCTTACAAAAAACTTCTGTGAATCGTTACATCTGGGAGAATTTCGCAGGACATGGCAAGTCTCCCAGCAGTACTTCGCCCCAGAGGCATTGGGATCGGGGAAGGGGTGAGCCACACTCAGACATGGGTGTTGCGTAAGCATGTTGGGAACCAAAGGTTGGGAGGGTTTAGGGTTTAGGGTTTAGGATTTAGGGTTTAGGGTTGAGGGTTTACGGTTTAGGGTTGTCTCTGCCGACTTTTCAAACTCAGATGCTCAGACTTGTTACCCTAATGCCGAAACGCCGACACCCTTGCAGTATTACACACGCATATTTTTTCTTGCAGTACTCGTATTGTGTTTTTGTACTCTTATATTCTTCGACCATTGTATTTTTGTATTGAATATAGCGTCTTAAGATTGTAAAGTTTAGAAAAGAGCACCCTACATCTCGCTGTTCTTTGCTGCCGGTCTAAGTTTGCCTTGAGGTGCCTAACGACTGCAGCAGCTAGTGAAACTAAACCCTAAACCCTAAACCCTAAACCGTGGGGTTCAGACCTACAGATGGGAGCCCGGAACCCTTCCTACGAAGGTCTTGCGACCTGCCACAATCGGAGCAGCTGCCTGTGCCACAGCGCTGATGAGCCCAGACGAATTGTGCACATCTCTGGGCCGGGGTCTCCGAAACAATCCTCAAGCTGTCCTGAACCCCTTAATCCCAGGCTCATGAACATCCATACAGTCCTTTGCAAAAGGCCTGAGAGCCTGACGTACGAACTTTCGGGTAGCGCCGTGAGCCCAGGACACCCTCATAGGGACAAGGAAAAACTACGTAAGATTCCACGCAACCTCCCAATGTTGGGTTGGTGCCCCTAGAGGAAACCATGTTCTTGAGCCTCGAGCGCGAGTTTTGCATGCTGGGTACGACCAAGATTTGAACCAGAAGGTCAACGTACACGATTGAAGGCGCCCGTTTTGGACTTGGATGATACTGGGGTGCAGTCGTTCCCGGGTGCTAACCGAATCCGAAACCCCGAGCTTAGAGCACCCAAAAAACCAGTCCTCATAAGGACCATTCCTCCGCACACGGCGCGAGTGGTGAGTCAAGTCCTGGCGTCTGTCGGCAGCGGCACCCTGGAGCAACCCTCTCCGGGATGCGTGAATTGAGGGTTTAGGGTTTAGCGTTTACGGTTTAGGGTTTAGGGTTTTTCGTGGCTTCAGGGTGGCCATCTCTGTGCCAGATTGTTGGTGCAGGGTGCGGAAGTTGATTTGTTGTTCGGAAATGTCGTGCTTCTGTGAGAAGATCTGCAGAGCACCGCTCTCAGCCCTCACATGGTTTCGGCGTCAGCACGCTGTGCGAAGAACATATCGGTGGGTTTTCCATGGGTGCCCCGGGTGGACTTACGTTTGTCTAAACCCTAAACCCTAAACCCTAAACCCTAAACCCTAAACCCTATAAACCCTAAACCCTCACGAAGAGCTCTGAGGCAAGGTCCTGATAGCATCCGGCTTGAACTCCATGGTCAGCCACTTGCACGCAGCAAGTCGAGACGAAACGATCAATCACCCTAAACCCTAAACCCTAAACCCTAAATCAGCTTAGCCTACTATTTGCTTCAGAACCCCGACAAAACAGAAGAAAATAACGATCCCTATATTACCCTTATGTAAGGAGGAATATTCGTTGTCTTTTTATTGGGGGGGGGGGGGGGCTTCTAAAGTAAATCGTAGTTAGTGCTTAGGGATAATTTTAAATTCCCCTTCTTTCCCTTTTAAGGGAACCTATTCAATCGTAAATTTTCAAAGGGCTTTAAAGCACCCCTCAATTCGGTGTTTAAAGATTCCTAAACCCTAAACCCCTAAAACCCAAAACCCTGCAATGTGGCCTGAGTGTCAGCTAGGCGGGTGGCAACAAGCCCTAAACCCTAAACCCTAAACCCTAAACCCTAAACCCTAAACCCTAAACCCTAAACCCATTCTGGGGGTTCAAACAGTGGACAGTGGACCCAGCACACAGCCTCAGACATCTTCGAGCCGGACTTCCATTGAACCCTTGTCCTCCCTATGTAGGGTTTAGGGTTTAGGGTTTAGGGTGCCCTAAAGCCTCAACCCTCAAACCCCGAACTCCCAAGTAGGCTCCTACGTTGCGGGCCTCTCTGGGGGCCTTGTGGGCGCCGCTGTGGGCGGCGCCGCTGGACCGCTGGGTGCGGTCGTGGGTTCGGCCTCTCGGACTTGCACAATTACGGGGATATTAGGGTTAGGGTTTAGGGTTTAGGGTTTCGGGTTTGAAGCATTGCGTCTGGCGGTCAGAGACGGTTTGGGGGTTTCCGAGATTGCGGGTACCGTGTTGGGGTCCTGATTAAAAGGGAATCCTGCAACCCCCACATGATCAGAAGTTTTTTTTTTTTGGGGGGGGGGGACTGCCTAATTATCATCTGACATGTTGCTCAAATTCAGTGCTGGCTCTTTCGGATGGAGCCGCTCGCGCGGGAGCTCGAGAGAAGTCCCAGTCGCTCCAAACCTGGAGAGAATCTGAACCACAAGGGCCAAACCCTCAGGCCCCCCCATTCTCTGAATCCGACATCTCGCTGAGGTCGTCGGAGCCGCAGCGCCATGGCATGCTGTTTAGGGTTTAGGGTTTAGGGTTTAGGGTTAAATCGGTCTTGGCAACTCCGCAAGGCGAGTGAATCCACATATATCTTCATTGCCGGACCTTTGCTAAACCAGCAGAAGCGTGCCCTCACACGATAGATCTTGCATATGGTTTCAGATTTCACGTCGCACTGCAGCTGACTGAGTTTATAATGACGTTTTGTAGTGACCTTACACACCAAACAGCCAGCATGTCGGCATAAGATGGCGCGCAAGCTGGCAGAGGGTTTGTGCGGAGTTCGTGGCTTACTATTGTCTCCGAATTCCAATTCTCTTGGGGCCTTTGGTGGGAATGTGTATGTACACAGTGCTGCTTCCTGCTACCGATGGAAGCTTGAGAGTCGGACTCCGCTTCTGCACTTGCATTGCTTTCCCACTCTTCAAGTTCTCACCTATCAAGTCCTTCTCGTCTGTTGCTGCCGTTGTGTTTGCCATCTGAAACGGATTCACTATGTCCCCCCAAGCCCCCCAAGCCCCCCAATCCCCCCAATCCCGCCCAACCTCCCCAACCTCCCCAAGTTCCCCACGACGCAAGGGTTTAGGGTTTAGGGGTTTATATAGGGGTTTAGGGTTTAGGGTTTAGGGTTAGGGTTAAGCCTCAATCCAAAGCCCTGTAGAACCCGAGGCCGGCGGCGAGAGCGGGAAGTGGATGGCACAATCCCAGGTCGTTGACTTCCACCACTTGCAGCCTGGCCTTAGGGTTTAGGGTTTAGGGTTTGGGGTTTGGGTTTTAGGGTTTAGGATTTTGGGTTACAGTGCACGTTGCGACACCCAACTTGCGACCCTTCCTGGTCCGTGATGCTTCAAGGAAGCACTACCGGTACTATACTTCCACTGCCGATGGCCACCAGTATCTGCCGCTGCCTCAGCAACTGGTGATGTCAAAGGATCGGACAAAACCCTTCAACCGAGCGTTGAAAGACACCGCTGCATTCGGAAGATGACTTCGCCCCACTAATACGGGGGCAATATAGGGCTCGGAATCAGTACTAATGGAATTCCTTTGTGGTCCCTTTGTAATTACTATGATAACCCCCAAAATCCCTTTTCTAGTAATTAAGGCCCTATACCAGTTGAGGGTTAAGGTGTCAAGCAGTTGAGCAGGGTTGAGGTTGGAAGCTGGACCCACGAAACGTCGGATCAGCGGACGTCCGAGCAAACCCCCAAAAGCCTCACAGCAAAGGACGTACAGACCCTCACTTCAAACCCTAAACCCTAAACCCTAAACCCTAAACCCTAAACCCTAAACCCTAAACCCTAAACCCTAAACCCTAAACCTCGACGTCTGAAGTCCCAGCCAGAGCCGGTCCGATATTCGAGAATGAATTCAAACCCCAAGCCCTAGGGGTTCAGGGTTTAGGGTTTAGGGTTTAGGGTCTAAGCCCCAACCCTCGACCCTACAAAAACGCATCTTGAGCCTTGAGAAGTCCTCCTTTGGTCTTAAGGGGGGCGGTGCTTATCTGAATATAATAATGGGCCCCTTTAAAAGACGTATTATTCACCCTTGACCTTGGAAAGCCTAACCGCCGTCATCTGTGCGTTCACGTGTTCATATGATTCGTGCGTACATTCATTACTTTCATTCCCTTACAATCATATTCCCACTTCGTTCATATAATATTCGCACGGCATTCATGCGTCTTTTCATTCCTTAGAATCCCGTGTGAATATTAAGTGAACGTACGGGCTAATAATATAATAACGCGCAATTTTAATATAAAATGTAATCTTGTGCACGATTTTATTATTAAAATGTTACGCGCGTATTAATATTATAGTACTAGCCCGTAAGCACACCACTTTTGCTGCACAGCGTTTGCCTGTTTCTTGCAAAAAAAAAACTTCTGCATTGTGGCCCAATGCACTATACAACGGGTTTAGAGACCAGTTTTTTAACCAAATTTCGCCCCACATCCGCTCGCCGCTAACCCAAATTCCTGGAGCCTTCAAGTCTTGATGCCAGGTCCCACCGCGCTACCATTCAAGCGCCGGGAGCAGAGATACTGGCCGCCAGGGCAGCAATAAATGTGTTGTGGCATTCTGGAGTGTGGATGTTTTGGGCTGTTGGGACTCAAGGTTAGGACTGTTGGCGTTCGATGATTCGCAGTCCTATCCGATATTAAGCAATTTAGCCGGAAAGAAAATGGGAGGGGCTCGTGGTTTGGCCTTGTCTCTCTGTCTGTGTGTCTGTGATGTGTTTGTGTTTGTGTTTGCGTTTGTGTTTGTGTTTGTGTCATTGTGTTATTGTGTTATTGTGTTTGTGTTTGTGTGTGTTATTGTGTTTGTGTTATTGTGTGTGTGTGTGTGTGTGTGTTTGTGTTTGTGTTTGTGTGTGTGTGTGTGTGTGTTTGTGTTTGTGTGTTGTGTGTTGTGTGTTGTGTGTTGTGTTTGTGTTTTTGTGTTTTTTGTGTTTTTGTGTGGTTGTGTGTTTGTGTGTTTGCGTGTGTTGTGTGTTTGTGTGTGTTGTGTGTTTGTGTGTTTGTGTGTTTGTGTGTTTGTGTGTTTGTGTGTTTGTGTGTTTGTGTGTTTGTGTGTTGTGTGTTTGTGTGTTTGTGTGTTTGTGTGTTTGTGTGTTTGTGTGTTTGTGTGTTTGTGTGTTTGTGTGTTTGTGTGTTTGTGTGTTTGTGTGTTTGTGTGTTTGTGTGTTTGTGTGTTTGTGTGTTTGTGTTTTGTGTGTTTGTGTGTGTTGTTTGTGTTTGCGTTTGTGTTTGTGTTTGTGTTTGCCTGCCTGGCTGGCGTTGTGGCTGGCTAGTGGCCTGGCTGTTTGTGTCTCTGTCTCTGTCTGTCTGGCTCTCTCTCTCTATCTCTCTCTTTCTGTTTGTCTCTGGGTGTCTGTCTGTGTCTGTTACTCTGTGTCTGTGTGTGTGTGTGTGTGTCTCCGTGTGTCTCTGCGTGTCTCTGCGTGTCTCTGTCTGTCTCTGCATGTCGCTGTGTGTCTCTGTGTGTCTCTGTGTGTCTCTGTGTCTGTCCTGTCTGTATCGTCTGTCTGTCTGTCTGTCTGTCTGTCTGGTCTTTCTGTACCGTCTGTCGCTGTCTCCGTCTCTGTCTCTGTCTCAATTATCACAAACCTGAAAAAACTAGGCGATTTCAAGAAAATCTCAAAGATTCGTTTTTAGATACTTGGTCGATACTAGAAAATAGTAGACAATCAATCAAATGAGTTGACAAGCCTTACAATTGAACACAGCATAAAGTAGAAATGAAATTTTATCGCATTTGAAAATTTCACAATGCACTACAGAAAGATTGTTATTATAAAGGAAATGAATCAATGAATTTGGTTGTATGCAGGATTTTTTCGAACTCCGTGTCTGTGTTTGTGTCTCTGTGTCTCTGTGTGTGTGTGTGTGTGTGTTTGTCTGTCTCTGTCTCTGTCTCTGTCTCCGTCTCTGTGTGTCTCTGTGTCCATGTTTGTGTCTTCGTGTCTCTGCGTGTCTCTCTGTCTCTGTGTGTAAAAAGCGTGTTCAGGGCTGGGCTGTTGCGATTTTGGCGCTCTTGGGTCATGATGCAAGCGTATCAAGGCTTTGTGCTTGCAGCTGTATTGCTACACTGGTCTGGTCTTCAAAGCAAAGTTGCTTCGTCGCCACTGGCACGGTCTGAGAATAGGCCGTTCGCATCCCGGACTGTACTCCTGAGCAGCATTTGGCTTGTGAAGGTCCTCATCGTCTTGGTGCAGGCAGGGACAAACGGCGTGACCCTTGGCCGCAGACGAGATTCAGGACCAGACCTCCACTGCCCCCACTCGATGTATGATTCATAGATGTAAGCTAACCACCGTTGGGTAGGGTCCAGGGTATTTGTTGGGCTTTGGTTCAGGGACTCTTCGCGGAAGTCGTGCGAAGGTACGCCTAAAGAATCCGTAGCTTTCAAAGGCGCCCCAGCCCTTTTCGTCTTGTGCGTGATCAGGCGAAATCTCTGGAGCTACGCGAACGGACAGATGTCTGGCCAAGACATGGCCGTGGCCTTCGGCAGCCTCCTGGCAGTGTTTGGCAGCATGTAAAACTTAGCGCCCGAAATCACGTGGCGTTTCCGCTTAAAGGGCGCGGGAGTACGGGCTCCATACACTTTAAGGACACATAAGGAAGCCCTTCTCTTTCACTGCCATTCGCGGCACTTGATTGAAGCTTAGAAGCTCGTTGCCATCATTTGGAACGTCAATACAGCACCTGCAAGTGCCCGACAGCCTAAACCCTAAACCCTAAACCCTAAACCCTAAACCCTAAACCCTAAACCCTAAACCCTAAACCCTAAACCCTAAACTGGCCCTAAACCCTAACCTGCAGGAGATTTGCGCGACGGGGTCATTGTGTCGACCTCAGCGCAGGTGGTGCTGAAGGCAGGCTTCGGGAACTCGCATCCTCGTGGCAGCCCCTAAAACGTAGGGTTTACAGGGTTTAGAGTTTAGGGTACGCAATTCCAGCTTTGACTGCAACTTTGTCCAAGTCTGATCCGTGCCCGACAACCTGTCCCTGTTCAACAACGAGCATGCTCCACTCAACGCTCGCAAGCCCGCATCAGACCCAGATTGGCTCTTCAACCCGAAACCCTAAACCCTAAACCCTAAACCCTAAACCCTAAACCCTAAACCAAAAACCCCAAACTTGTCAGCCGCTAGCCAAGCCAGGCACTTCTCAAGACCCAAAAGCCGCTTGAACCCACAAAGAGCCCAGCCCCTCCGTGTGTCCGGACAAGGATGGAGCCGACCCTAGACCCTAAACCCTAAACCCTAAACCCTAAACCCTAAACCCTAAACCCTAAACCCTAAACCCTAAACCCTAAACCCTAAACCCTAAACCCTAAACCCTAAACCCTAAACCCTAAACCCTACACCAAACCAAGCACAGCCCGAAGATTTGGAGGCGCTCCAGTGGGGCCAGGGCCATGCCACCGGCTTCTGGTCGGCTTGGGTTAGGGCGGTTAGGGTTTGGGGTTTAGGGTTTAGGGTTTAGGATTTAGGGTTTAGGGTTTAGGGTTTAGGGTATATAGGCATTTCTCAAAGGAGTCCGGATGCAAAAGGGTTTAGGGTTTGGGGTTTAGGGTTCAGGGTTTAGTAAGTTGGGTTTAGGGACGTCTCGTGCTGTGATCGGGCTGCAGCTCCCCGAGTCAAAAAGGACGTCGGGTTAGAGTTTTGGGGTCTTCGGATGTGTGCCAATTTGCCAAAACATCTTTCTGCGGTTTCAGGTTGGCCTTTGCTAGATGCCCGTTGGATCTGATGTGCCAGAGTCCCTGGAGGTTTGCTGTTTGCCGCTTCCGTTGGGGATTTACGAGAATAGGGCATAGGGGGCCCCCAATCTTGATCCCCAAATAGTAGGATACCCTTACAACAAGGACCCCAACAAGGTACCCCTAATTTCGGAAACCCCTAATGAGGGTTTAGGGTTTAGGGTTTAGGGTTTAGGGTTTAGGGTTTAGGGTTTCGGCAAGCGACTTGAAGCTCTGGGGTTGGGGGTTCACGTGCCTTAACAGAGCTTCAGCCACTTCATCCGAAACCCAAAATGCAAGATCGCCGCAGGCTACGTTTTGTTCGGCTGCCGGTTCTTGTTTTCGGCGGCTCGTTTTTGTGCAAAGGGGGATTGCTGAGCTCCAAAGTCATCAGTCCCGTACTTGGTGCTTGTCGTGTTTGTGGGTCCATGACGGACACCTCGACTGCTCTAATCACGTTCTGTGTGGTTCGTTTGCTGGGTTCAACCTGCTCGCCATGATGGGCATGTGTCTTAGCACTCGCCAACAAGGGACTGTGTCGGAACTTGGAGTTGTACCGCGGAATCAGGGTGTGCAGACGGATCTAGAACCCCGTTCTGTGCAGGGTTCTTTTAAGGTTTAGGCCCTCTCAACCCCGAGACACTAAGACGCTTTGGAAGTAAGTGCGCGCTTGTCCGGGGTCTTCCTGGGCGAAAAAGAAGCCTTATCCTTGGGGACGAAATGAACCCTAAAATTGAGGTCATATACCCTGAGTACTATAATTCCTATTCAGGTCTATGAACCATAAACCCTTTTAGGGTTCATGTAGTCGCTAAGGATAGCCAAAGAGGGCTCCAGAGGCCTGTAGCTCATCGGCTAAGGCTCCTGGATTGCATCTCTGAGTGCTACAACGCTGAGTCAACCTGTGCCGGTTCTAATGGCGCCTTTGATGGATCTGATCCCTAGAGCTCCAAATAGCCCAAGGTAGGTATTATTTATAGACTTTAGACCCCAATGTAGGTATCACTTGTATACTTGGAGCCCTAGGGGATCTTCATGTCCTCGTGATCATGCACCAAGTTTGACGGATGTGAGGTATTGGGCGTACGCTGAAGCTTTGCTTTCAACCTGCACGTAAACCCCCCGCAGTAACTAACACTAAAGCGCTCTGAAGCAGGCCAGGAGCGGATGTCTGCACACACCTTGTAGGGGTGGCACTGCTCGTTTATTGAAGACAATGCTCCGCAATCTTGCAGACTGCATAAAGCCGTGACTCTAAAGCCCCGAACGTCCCAACCCCTCGCCCCCGCCCTCCGATCTACATACTTCAGCCACCTCAACCGAGCCTCAACCTCGAATTCTACCACCCTCAAACCCTAAATCTGGAATTCCACCCTAAAACCCTAAATCCTAAACCCTAAACCCTAACCCTAAACCCTAAACCCTGAAAGTGCGTCGCATCCCTGTCCCAGGCAGTCCTCACCGGTGGGCTCATTGCCTCGCAATGCCTCCGCGCCTCGGGTTGCGATAGATTCCAGGCTTGCATGGGTTAAGGGTTCAGGGTTTAGGGTTTAAGGGTTTAGGGTTTAGGCTTTAGGCTTTAGGCTTTATAGGGTTTAGGGTTTTGACTGCTCAAGTCCGAATGCACAAAAGGGGTTAGGTTTCGGGGAGGCGCTCCGGATCAAGCGCGCAGTTTGGCGTTTGGAGGTTGGTGTTTAGAGGTTCATGAAGCATTGTACCTGTGCTTCAGCCTCCAGACGCGGGAAGGGCCAACCCCTCCCCACCCACACCCTGAGGCAAGAGTGAGAACTGTGTTTCGTAGCTTCGGGTAACTGAATCGGGCTCACGGCATTGCAGTATGTTGGGCGTTTTAGGCTTCTGCTTTGGTGGTACTCTTGTTTGTTCACGAGGTCCAACAGGCTGAAGCCTCCAGAATGTGCATGTCACTGCATGTCACTTGATATATTGGAAGCCAAGTGCTCGCCTAGCGTCCCGAGGCCGAGAGGAGGATTGAAATGAGTCGTGCTTCTTTGTCTTTCTCAATCAGGGTGGAACTCTTGGGCCGTAAACATGTACATGAAGCCACAGAAGCTCAGGCTACTCCATGGGGACCATTTCTCTGGAGCAGTTGCGCGCAAACTCCGTTCTCGCCTCTTGGCGAACTGCTGTTGGTTGATAGAGTTGGAGGGAGCGGGAGTGGCATGTGTACTTGAACATAGAGTTGTTTTTGACTCTGACAGGGCTCTTGCGTACATATAAACACACACATTTATATATATATATATATGTATATATATAGTGGGTAAAAATGCACTAACCTTAACATTTCCCGGGCTTCCGTAGAGCACCCTTCAAGCCCGGGATGTCTCAGACTGTCAGGGAAGGTGGATGGCTGGCCAGAGTTCCGTCAAACGCTTCGTATTGTTTGATTGTCCCCGGCTTGGGATGTTCCCCCTTCTACTAGCAGTCCTTAATAGGGATTAGAGGTATCCCCGTATTTGAGAATCCCTATTCAGGACTGTTAGTACAAGGAGGAACATCCCAATCCCCGACGTGCAAGATGCCATGCCCCCCTTGCATGACCCTAAACCCTAAACCCTAAACCCTAAACCCTAAACCCTAAACCCTAAACCCTAAACCCTAAACCCTAAACCCTAAACCCTCTTGTGTTGTCCGGTATGCGACCTTGCTGTCTTAGCCGTTTGCATCTGTGTGTGTGTGTGTGTGCGCGCCTGCTTCTGCTGGTGTGGGCCTGCGCGGATGCCTGAAAAGGCGCAACCTTCACGAGCCAGAATTCATGATGGCATCCAAGACCTCAGCCCTAAAGTCCCTAAACCTGTAACCCTAATTATAAACCCTGAAACCTGAACCCTAAACCCTAAACACCCTAAACCCTGAAACCTGAGCCCTAAACCCTAGACTGAACCCTAGATTCACAGACCCATCATTGAGCCTTTGCTGGAATGCCAATGCCAATCCTTGCGCCCTAAAAGCAACAAATCCTGCACTCTACGGACCAAAGAAGTTTGGACTAATGGGTCGGGTGAGAGTCTTGCAGCACCACCCAGGGGCTTGGAGAATCAATCAGAAAGCAAGCCTGCAACCGAGATCAGAACAAAAAGCCGAGCCACTAGGAGCTTTGAGAATCAAGGACAAGGCCCTAAACCCTAAACCGTAAACCCTAAACCCTAAACCCTAAACCCGGAGTGAAAAAAAAAACCCTAAACCCTAAACCGACTTCGGGAATCAAGGCAAGCTGCCCCCATGTGACAAGCAAACTCCCGTCAACCGGGTGAGTTTCAGAAATTGCAGGGCATGCTTTCGATATCCGTTTTCTGAGTGTGTTGATGTTCATGTCAGGTATGGAGCAAGAAGAGTTCTTTGTGCCAACTTTTTTTAACCTTACGACTCAAGACTTTTGCCGGGAACTCAACATGGAGTGGGCGGTTTCTTGGAACGGGCAGCGCCAGCGAAACTCTAGAATCGAAGGCTGAAGGATGGAGGCTAAGCCCTAAACCCTAAACCCTAAACGCCCAGCCCTTGACTCATGGGTGATGTCATGAGTCAGGTTAAAGAGATTAAGTTTGCTCAGACAGGACCCTTGAGCACAACGGAAGGATGGATATTTTTCGCTGCAATGAGACATCCTATAAAGCTGGTGATTGGGCGGCAATCCGAAAGTGCTGCTTGCAAACTTCCTTCTGCTGACCCTGCGCATTCTTTCAGCCTGCAGCCTCATGGTTTAGGGTTTAGGGTTTCGGGTTTAGGGTTTCGGGTTTAGGGTTTAGGGTTTCGGGTTTAGGGTTTAGGGTTTCGGTTTTAGGATGCAGTGCAAACTTCACCACTGCGCCCATGACTCTTTCCCCGGAGGCCTTCCAAACAAACCACAGCCTTAAGGCACAAGAGAGGTTTAAATGTCGACTGCAGACACGACCAGGAGAGTAGTCGACCCCTCACAAGGTGTACTTTTAATTACTAATAGTAGTCCCTTTGTAATTATGGTCCCCCAAAACCCTGTTCTAACTAGTAAGGCCCCTATTTTGCGGCTTTCTGGGCTAGGGTTTAAGGGGTGGGTTGAGGATAACCCTAAACCCTAAACCCTAAACCCGAAACCCTCGACCTTCGTTGGGTGCCGGCAAGTGCCGCCACTACGGAGCCTGGACACCTGAAGTGTGAGTTCCTTAGCGACTACATGAGCCCTAAAAGGGTTTATGGTTCATAGACCTTAATAGAAATTATCGTACTCAGGGTATATGACCCCAATTTTAGGGTTCATTTCGTCCCCAAGGTTGAGCTCATCCTACCAACTTTTCCGTGCATCTCTTTCCCATGTGGTCAGTTCTCTAAATTAGGGTCCCTGTTTGGGGCACCCTAAATAATTATAGGGGCCGCCTTATCATAAGGCCCTTAAACGGGACCAGAACCAGAGAAGCTACAATGTTTTTTTCCGTGCAAATTCCGTTTTTCAGAGTTCCGAGTGGCCAATCTGACTTCCATATCCCTCCCTGCACTTCCTTGGATGCCCAGTAGTACCCTTATTCCCTTTTTTTTTTTTGGGGGGGGGGGGGGGGTGGTTTAGGTTCCCTTATAAACCCCTTTAAGCAAAAAAACAAAAGCACCCTTTTTATGCCTTGGATAACTGGGCAGCCTAGCTTCATGAAGCCAAACAAACTGCGAACTCTACTCTACATCGATCTGTTCCACGGAAAGGAGCCCAACGCCCCAAAGCACTTGTCCTCAGGCTGCCACCGTGTCTGGGGCAGGCCTGGGCGAGTTGACCTCCCGCCTGATTTCTAAGTTAGAAGCGTTTTTTGTGTGCGAGTTCGGGATGGGGGAGGGTCCTCCCATGGTGCGAGGTACTGCTTTAAGTTGGATCCAGGCGAATGGGGTTGCGTGTGGGGCGTTCTGTTCGCCACAACTCAAAATACTTGAACATGCTTCCGGAGATTCTCCCAGTTCTGCTAAACTTGCATTGGGCAAACCCTAAACCCTAGCCCCAAACTCTACAGGGTCGCCGCATAGCTGCTCATAGCTCCACTCCGCTGCAGGCATCGCCACGAACGTGGCTTCGTGGCGGCATTGGACCACGCAGGTTTCCACCTCTGCAGGTCGTCTAAACCCTAAACCCTAAACCCTAAACCCTAAACCCTAAACCCTAAACCCTAAACCCTAAACCCTAAACCCTAAACCTCTTGCAACCGCCCTGACTCTTGCAACTCCAGTACTTAATGGTCAAGCCTGGACTTTGAGCCCCTTATGAGGAGCCCTGGGTCTCTTTAAAGGTATCCATATCCTTGGGGACCAAATGAACCCTAAAATTGGGGTAATTTATACCCATTACTACTATAATTCCTATTAAGGTATATGAACCATAAGCCCTTTTAGGGTTCATTTCGTCCCCAAGGATGAGCTTATCCCTGAAGAATCTGGGTCTGCAGGCCATGCGGCTGAGTTTATCGTAGTTTCGTGGTATGAAGCCTCAGGACCCCCCTGAATGTTGCAGTCATTGAAGGGAGCCTCGAAACCGCTGAAGCACCTCTCTGATCAAAAGCAGCCCTTGCGGAATTTCCGAGTTCTTTCGTTCATCAAGGAATGGGGGGGGGGGGGGGGCCTAAACCCCAAACCCTAAACCTAAACCCTAAACCCTAAACCCTAAACCCTAAACCCTAAACCCTAAACCCCTGCATCCCCTGTAGAAGCTAAGGTCTGCATCGGGCTGCACCTGCCCTTCGTCAGTTGTGCCCTGCCCCTTGGTGAGCTGGGCCTTCATCCAAGCCTAAGCTACACAGTGGTGAGAGCCTCGTTGGTCCTACTGGCTCAGAGATCCAGAAGACACAATAACTCCTCGTTTCATCCAGTAAGTCTCGTGAAATCCGTGAAGAAATGCTTTCGTCGTGGACTTTTCTGCTCTGTACTGCTTCGGGGTTGAGAGTGAATGGCTTGAAGTCAGGGGTGCACGAGAAGCCTAGGTTCTTGATTTGTCAAGCTTTCTGAGTTCATTTTGTGGATTCATGGAACTTGTGGGACTGTGCAGTGAAAAACCACGCCACTTTGACGGTTCATGAGCAGCCCTGAGCTTGTCAACTCGCCACGATGTGAAAATACTGAGCATGTTCAGGCTGACCTGCACTGCCAGCAATCTCGCCGGTTTGTGGGCCTATGAGGCCTGGGTCGTCCTACTTCTCCTGGAGACAGGGGTGCCGCCAACGTGATAGTCGGGGTCGAAGGTGTCCCCAAAGTGACCTTGCTCACGTTGAGCGTGGGCTGGGAGCGGCTTTTCTGGCCCTAGAATGCTGCGTTATACTCTTGAGCCAAACCCCTCAACTGCTGAACTCGTTGGGGCTTGTGTGAGTAGCTTGGGCACGACAAAGGAGTAGTAGGGCTTGGATATCGGGGTTCAGGTGTAAAAAGCCTTCGGGACAACCGTCGAGGGGCTTTCTTCGAGTTGTCGAGCCGGAGTGGGGAAGCCCGGAAGCTCAAAACTTAAAGCCCGAAGTTGCAGAAGCTCTCAGATGCATGTCTGTCCTCAGTCCCGAGAGCCATAACACCTTTGTGAGTGTGGAACCCTAAACCCTAAACCCTAAACCCTAAACCCTAAACCCTAAACCCCGCAACAATTGGACTGAGCCTGTGCAGGCCTGGCGAGCCGGACAGCAGGATGCGCTGGAGGACCTCAGCGGTCGAAAGTACTATAGGGGGGGTTTAGGGTTTAGGGTTTAGGGTTTAGGGTTTAGGGGCTGCCGGAGGTATATGGCGGTTTCTTTGCAGAGGCACGTGCTTGCAGGTTGGCGATTTGACTTGAGAACCAAATTTGCAGCTTGCAAAGAACTCGGGGCTCGGCTCCATATTCCCCTGGGACACTAGACAATCTCTCGCGTGCCACCACCGCGTCGAGGGATAGGAGGAGGTGCAGCTCTCGAACCCCGGGAGCCCAAGCATCAGTTCCCAAGGCTTCAGGTTCCGAAAACATTGACCCTGTTAGGGTTTAGGGTTTAGGGTTTTGGGTTTAGGGTTTAGGGTTTAGGGTTTAGGGGGTTACTGCGAGTCCTGCGACTCGAGGACAAGTTGCTGGCGCTGGCTCGGGATGTCTTCGGGGTCGGACCTGGGTCTGGTTCTCAGATCGTGCAAATGGTATTGCAAGCCGTCTGCTTGTTTCTCTCGGTTTGTTGATGTGCTGTTGAAAAGGTTCTGAGTTGTGTCAGAGTGTTCGAGTCTTAGGCTTATGGACTTATGGTGCACTCAAGCTGCATGTCGTGGTTTTAGCCCTACCGTTCCCTCCTGCCTAGGGTTCTGTTTCCCTCTCCGTTCCTTCTTGTTGCTCTCTCGTTCATTGTTTCCCCAGCCATACACCCTAAACCCTAAACTCTAAGTTGTTGAGAACATCGCAATGCGATCTTTTGCTTCAGAGACGACAGTCGGACACCTTGCATCCCGGCAGTGTGGTTTGTGAGGCTGCTAGGCAGGTGGCAAAAGACTCTAAACCCTAAACCCTAAACCCTAAACCCTAAACCCTAAACCTTGAGGCAGAAACCGTAAACCCTAAACCCTAAACCCCTGGCCGCAGGCATTCACAACGAAGCTTAGACCGACGCTGGCGCGCAACGACCTCAGCCGGGCGGACGTTTGGGGACGACACGAACCCTAAAATTGGGAGGTTATATACCCTCTACTACTGTAATTCATATTAAGGTAGCATATATGGAAAATAATACAGAAAAAGTAAAATATACCCTCTGCTACTGTAATTCATATTAAGCTTAGTAGTAGAGTAGGTAACCTTTAACCTTTTTGGCGCCAGTCCTCCTCTCAGGACTCAGAGTCAGAAGATTCCTTGAAGGGCTCATTGTTCCCAGAGTTCGCATCCTTAAGTACAATTATCGAATCCCTCCTCATCCGTCGTTGCCTCTTCTCCCGGGCTTTCCGCCTGACTTCTGAATCCTTAATTTGTAGCATGTCTCACGCTCGACGCCGGGGACTTGCTGTGCACACGTCGCGCTTTAACCTTTTTGGGTTAATACATTCCCCTGATATTCCCAAAGGTTAACCTTTAAAACCCCTAGGTACTGGACAACTGGGTATACCCTCTACTACTGTAATTCATATTAAGGTAGGAGGACCATGAACCCATGTAGAGTTCAATGTGGAAAGGTCTTGTGTTGACAAGGAGTTTGCTGCAATCTCAGGGCCTGCTATGGGTTTCTCGTGTGGGCTCCCGGGGTTGTAGAGGAACCGCCTCCCAGAACCCGTCTTCTTATTGCTACAAATACTACTAATTAATTGCTTAAGAACCCACAAAAAATGAAACAAATAGTCCTTATAAGGGTAATATGGGGATTATTATTCTTTTGGGGTTCTGAAGCAAATCGTAGAATAGTGACTCCTGCTCGCCACGGGCCTTCGGATTCCAATCTGTCCTGCGTTGATGCCTTGTGCATCGCCAAACCCATGCAGCTGAATTCAATTGCTGTCCGTCTGCATGTTCATTCCTGAGCCTATTTTTGAAAAGTTGAGGCTGCAGCTCACAACAATGAGGAAGCCCCGACGAAGAGAAAAAAAAGCTAAGTTAAACGCAAACGAGGGAAGAAGCCCGTAAAGCGATCATCCTAAAATCGACGATCTGCAAGCCCTAAACCCTAAACCCTAAACCCCTGGATTCTCGACGAGGTGTTGGCGCGGATGGCTCACCCAGACAAGAACCGCAGGGCTGATGCAAAGACGACCTTTGCATTGCTGCGGCTCTGTAAGGAGGCAGGGGAAGGGGACCTTATCTTACTGGCTCAAAACCCAACTTTTCAACTTTTGGGCTTCTTATAAGGTAGTTTATTCTGAAAGTTTCAACTTTTATTTCCTGGGTTTTGGGCCAGTAAGTTATAGGGACCACATTGAACCCCCAAAAGGGTTTATGTGGGGAATATGCATCTAGTAGGAATTATTAGTATATTCTAGGGGCTCGGAAAAGGAGGCAGCTGGGGAAGAGGACCTTATAGCTTAGCAGTAGAGTAGGTAACCTTGAACCTTTTTTTTGGGTATTCTAATCCCAAGAACTAAGGTAGGGACCACATGAACCCTAAAAGGGTTTTTGGCCCCATATATCTTTGTAGGAATTATAGTGGAATAGGGTATATAACCCCCCATGTATAGCTTGGTAGTAGAGTAGGTAACCTTTCAACCTTTTTTGGGTATGCTAATCCCAATAAAATCCCAAAGGTTAACCTTTAATTCCCCCAGGTTACTGGACAACTAAGATGGGGACATGAACACTAAAAGGATGTCAGGGTATACCCCCCCCCCCCATTTTAGAGTTCATGTCGTTCCCAAGGGAGTGGTGGTTTCGGGGTGATGTGCAGACTTTTTGTTTTTCGGTTTTAGGGGTAGTTGCGATAGTCGCTGGGTGCGGTGCGCGAAGTAGGTATGGGGGTTCTGGGTTGCAGCCACGGAGAGGCTGTAGCTTGCATTCCTAAATCTTCCCAGACCGTGAGCAAGCTTGTGGTCTCTTCTGATCCTGTGTTGGAGAGTACAGACTCAAGGCCGAGGGAACCGTTCATCTGCCGTTCCAACCCCAAGCAATCCGACTTCCCAGCGCCCTACAGCAACCTACAGCGCGAAGCCTCAACGCTTTCTCATTCTGTTTCCCCGACTCGTTGCCCGGCAGCTCCGCCGTTACCCTAAACCCTAAACCCTAAACCCTAGTGGTGAGGTGCTGGAGATGCGTTCTGAAGGCAGCAGAGCTCGAGCGCCAGCTCTGCCACTCTGCTTGTGAGGGGTTGGTTCCGCAGCTGGGGGCACTTGCGACTGAGACGTTGTTCTAGGATGCCCAGTAGTACCCTTATTCCCTTTTTTGGGGGGGTTTTAGGTTCCCTTATAAACCCCTTTAAGCAAAAAAGGGCACCCTTTTCAAGCCTGGGTTACTGGGCAGCCTAGTTAGTGTTCCATGCCGCTTGATAGTGTGTTTGCTGAGAACCGAAGCAGAGAGACGGCAGGATCTCAGCTCAGACATGTGCTCAGAAGCGCCTGCAGCTTCATAGAGATCAGGGGCTTGGGTGAGGTTAAGCCCAGCTTGCACGGGGGTTGGCTTGATCCTTGAGAAGTGTACTGGGGAGGGGCAAGGGGTCGGGAATGGATTACACTTTGACTTTTGCAAACGCAAGCCGATCGGCGTCCACAACGGGGTCTGGCACTTCGGAACAGGATCCGGTGCTGATGGATGAAACGCCCGATGGCCGGGGTACGGATCCAAGCAGCCAAATCATCACCGGATGGCGCAAGTGGCCCTTTAGAAAGAGCTTGGGCCTGCGTTGTTGATGACACGCTTCCGTCACAAGAGAGCAAACACAACTCAACTCTCAACCTCTCCGGGCGAAAACTGCGACGTGCACCTATCCACACCAACACTCCCGAAACCTTCAACCTAGCAAAGGCCTGAACACGCCTGCGCGCAACCTCGAAGCCCTGCAGCGGAATGTAACCCTTTACCCTAAACCCTAAACTTCTAAACCTCTTAACCCAGTCTTTGAAGTCAGCCTCATTCATCCCGAAGTTGTTGCCCTGCAGTGTTGCTGGTCTGCCTGGCGGGTGGCAAAACATCCTTTAACCCTTAAAACCCTGAAAGCCTTGAAAGCCCTTAAAAACCCTGAAAGCCTTGAACGCCCTAAATCGTTTAAAGGCCCTAAACCCGTCAAAGCCCAGGTATGCGTCCTTTGTCAGCCTTTCCCAGCAGCTTCCCACTTGGTTGCGGGAAGCCTGCAGGGTGCGAACTTGAGGATCGGAACTCAGGGTTTCAGGTAAGGTTTAAGGTTTAGGGTTTAGGGTTTAGGGTTCAGGGTCACGTTTAGGGTTTAGGGCTAGGGTTTCGGGGCCTCGTAACTTTGATTCTGGGAAACCTGCCAAGTTGGCCTGCGTAGCAACAGGTAATTAAGGGTCAAACTGCTTGGGGGTTCCGAAGCCCTGACAATCTGACGGTAAAGCTGGGTTATGATTGTCTAAATCCCCCTTTGGAATCATTTTTTATTTTTGTTTACATAAAACCCAACAGGATATTAGAAATATGATTTGTTATAAGGTTCTAGGGGGAGAATAGAACACCCTTTACGGGAGTTCCTCTTAAAAGTTCATAATAAGGATCCTTAGTATAAATTATAGGATACATTCCTTAATTAAGGGGTTTTGGAAGATCTGGGAAGGTTCGAAGAAGAGTATAGACTAAGGCTCCAAGCAATTAGATAAGTAGTTCTGCCTCGAACGACTCTCGAAAGTGTGTTTCGTGTTCCTGGTGTTAAAGGCACGGCACCCAGTGCAAAGTTCCGCGTAAGCTTGGGTGCCGTTTCCTCCCTTGTCACGTTGCATTCTCTGAGACTAAAGCTGCTAGCGATACCCAGATCTTCCAAAACCCCTTAGTTAAGGAATATACCCTATTTTATACCAAGGATCCTTATTAGGAATTAGGGTATATACCTTAATCAAGGGGGTTTGGAAGATCTGGGTACGCAGGCCAAGGGAGGCCCTCCCCCACTTTGCGAGGCTGTGGAGGACCTCGACATCGTTAATGCATCCGGAGGCGGCAGGGCAATAAGCCCTAAACCCTAAACCCTAAACCCTAAACCCTAAACCCTAAACCCTAAACCCTACAGTGCCAACCGTTCAAGTATCACAACTCTGACTGTACATGACTGTATTTCCCAAAGCTGCTTAAGGATGACTGAAGAAACTAAACAGGGATTGAGTATTGTAGGCCATATCACGCACTTAGCCCCCCAACCCTGCATCCGAAACCCGGCGTCCCTAAACCATAAACCCTAAACCCTAAACCCTAAACCCTAAACCCTAAACCCTAAACCCTAAACCCTAAACCCTAAACCCTAAACCCTAGACTGTGACAAAGGATTTCGCCAAGTTGGCCCAAGCGTGAGGGCTCTGTGGACGGAGGGGCTGACTAAAGGGGCTTCGACTTCAACCCTAGACCTTCCTTGGGGTTTAGGGTTTAGGGTTTAGGGTTTAGGGTTTAGGGTTTAGGGGGGGACCGTATGAACCCTAAAAGGGTGTATGGTTCATATATCTTAATAGGTATTATAGTAGTATAGGGTACATACATATATATATATATATATACATCTATCCCCCCATTTTGGGGTTCATGTCGTTCCCAAGGATGAGAAGTTTTCGCAAGAGGAGGA